GAAAGTTTGTGGATTTTGTTAGGTTTCAGCTGACTGAAGCAATGGGAGAATTTCACTGTAAAAACTCTACAACAAGTTTCAAAAATATTATTTCTTCTCAGATTGCTTCTATACAAACATGGAGATATAATTCTTATTTTTTAAAAATATTGGCCACAATATCTAATGTAAACAGTTTCACCAATACCATTGTTCAGATTACATTTCAATTTTGTTGCTATAACAGAATGCACATTCTCAATAAAGTTTTAGAAATATTTACTTGCCTAGCAACACTTTGGCATCTTCCACATCAAAATCTCCATCTCCATCAGCATCATAGATCCCTAGCTTTCCTGGAATAAAGAGAGAATGGTTAATACATTTGAACATTTTAAAATTGATTTCTTGACATGATAAAAGACAGCAAAGAAGAATGATGAAATTATATAAAAAGTCTCATTTGAAAACACAAATGGAAGCCTACATGTTTGATTATTTATTTCTCTTTCTTAAACAAACCAATCTTTTCTAAAATTGGGTGTAATTTCATACATCTGAAATCATATTGCAGTGTCAAAGTGGTCACACTGATGATCACATTTTTCACAATTTGCAATCAGTTTTCTATTCTGGCAACAGATCACTTGATTTGGCAATTACGTCTATGACATTATACCAACAGCCTTAAGGTAGGTGCTCACAGGTTTTTCAATTGGCAAGTACAAAGTATGAAAGAAAAACAAATATTTTGGAAAAAGGTTGATGAAATAGATTAATATCTCACTAAGTCAGCACCTCCACAATTGCTGGCATATTTTACAATTCACATATAACATTTTTATCCTGCTTATGTAAAGTAACAGGCACCGTCAAGATTTGACAGACTTTCAACAAATACATCAACACCAAACTGTCCATGACAAGGAGTATCAATATGAAAACTAGCCTGGACCCCTGGAACTTCAGGAACCAGAATCTGCTGAAAAACCAGTGAAATACCAGGAGACCAAATAGTTGGTTATACAAGTTTACGGATCTAGGAATTTGCAAGATAAGCAAAGTGCTATCGAGTGAATATTTTAACACATTGTGCATCACTGTAACCTTTCACATACTGCATAATAATTAACACATCAGAGCTTTTACACATGCTTTATTTGCAACCTTGATATTACAATGAATGCAATACTTCTCCATTTAAATCAACAGAAGTTTTGCTACAACTGAAACAGGATTTGACCCAGGAGCTCATTCTGTGTGAGAGAGTGTGTACTCACACACAAATACAGGCATTTAAACACAGCAGGCTGGATAGCTCAGTGGTTTAGCTATCTGGCTTTGTAGCCAGAGTTTGGGAGTTTGATTCCCCATTGTGCCTCCTATGAGTAAAACCAGCCTGCGTGGCCTTAGGCAAGCTGCACAATCCCAGAAGAAGGGAATGGTAAACCACTTCTGAGTATTTTTTTTTTAACCTGGAAGACCCTGACAAAGGTCACCATATGGCAGAATTGATTTGATGGCACATGATTTTAAAAAAAACATACTGCTAATTGTTACCTTGTGGCATTTAATTAATTAATTAATATTAATTAATATAACCAGTGCTGAGTTATACATCATGTATACATCATGAACAGCTCATTAAACACAATTTTGATTTCTCAAGCAGTGAAGTAAGGAGCAATACAAATATATGCAATGTAGGGCTATTCCTTCCACAATGCAAATTTGTGAATCACTATCTGTGGATACCAATAGAACTATATCCCAATCACTTATAATGCACTCAAGCAGAACTAAGCAAAGCATGCCAGGCTGACAGGAAGTGTGGGCAGTTTCAGATGGAAAGGCTGAAATTTGAGGAAGATCATTTTTCTGCCATGATTCTCTGAACAAGACTATGATGCTAAAACATTATCTTTTCAGGGTTGCTAAGCAGCCAATTTAAGTTCCTTTAAACAACTAAAATCAAAATATCCAAACAAATATCAAAATAACTGTTAATAGTTTAATTACTCCTCCTTACACTAAAAACAGTACAAATGAAATGGAAAATCAGGCCTAGATATTGCTTGGCATACTCTGACAAGTCTGCTGTTCTTCCTGTAGAGGCCAATGAAAAAAGAATGCCAAGAAGACAAAAAACAGAAGCAACTCTAAACTATAATTTGCCAAATCATATGGAAGTGCAAACAAAGGTTTAAGTGGAAACCACATGTTTTTGTTCACTGCCTAAACTGAACCAGTTCACATTTTAATAATTTATAATGTAAACTCTATTACAATTTTCCATTTCAAGAGTAAAAGATTATTATGGTTTAACACAGTCAAAAACAAATATTAATTTTCTTTTAAACTAAAATGTGTAATTGTAAATCTCTGGATTGAAAATTTACATATAGTTGATAACTCCCACATTTCAGCAACAGCCCATAACCTTATCCTTAAAATAATTTTTCTCATCTGCATATCCAAAGATTATCTCACTCTTCTTATAAAACTAGATCTTCTGGCCACCATTTCAGTAAGGCTTCCACTTTATCCATCTCCTACCATGTTTCCCCGAAAATGAGACAGGGTCTTATATTAATTTTTGCTCCAAAAACACATTGGGGCTTATTTTCAGGTGGTGTTTTATTTTATTTTTTTCATGTACAACAATCTACATTTATTCAAATACAGTCATGTCATCTTCTTCTGGTTGCTGAACAATGTGGCACAATGGTGGAGGGCGGGATTTCACTTAACTGGGGCTTATTTTTGAGGTAGGGCTTATATTACAAGCATCCTGAAAAATCATACTAGGACTTATTTTCAGGTTAGGTGTTATTTTCGGGAAAATAGTATATACTTATGCTGCTGGTATCTTTTGTCTACCCACAGGATCCAATAACTTCAAGAATTTTCTTTAAAAGCATGCATGGCAGCATCAGTTATCTACACCCAAGACTATACGTATGAGGCATCTAACCCCATATTTCCTTCTCAAAGCACAGAAGAAAAATAGAGTGTTCAGGGGATTCCACCCATCTTTATTGCTATTCACCCCCCCCCACAAAAAACCCTGCAAACATTGCAAAAATCTATAAAATAAGATAGGACCTAGAAACCATAGGGTAATGCAGAAGTTACAATAATGAAACCAGAAAAATAGTGCTTCAGGAATGAGAAATGAAGATTTTTCTAATTTAAATGTCAATTCCACTCAAAAGTCAATGAACACCAAAAATATTTTCTAGAACTTAAAGAGGAAAAGAAAAAATCGTTTTATAAAATAGAATTTTCTATTTCAAGCCCCTGGAATGTGATAACAATTTATTTCTCTACAGTCCTACCTTGGAGTACCTCTGACAAGTTATAACGGAAGTCCTTTGCTTTGGCTGCATGCATGGTAAAAACACAGAAACCATTATTCACATAATCAGAAGCCAAACAGATTAGCTACATGATTCTCTCCCTTCAATGCTCTGTTCAATCTGCAGCCTAATTTTCTCCATTTTTATTTCTACATTCATTTTATTTCTATATACTTGTGGCTTTCCTCTGAACTTAATTTTATTTATTACCTTAAAAGAATTCTAAATCTGGCAAGAAACAACAAATAAACAGCTATTACTATTTAATTTTTGAAACAGAATTTTCAAATAAAAGCATTTGGGAACACTAAACTTTACTGTTTTTTTATTTTATACTGCACACAGTACAACTCTTACCTAGAACTTCCTCATAATCGACGAGTTCAAACCAAACCACTGCAACTGATGTCCATACTCCTAGCAATGCAATTACCATAAACCAAGTGAAAAAAGAACTTCCAGAAATGCCTTCTTTCTTGCCATTCTTGTTTCCTCCATGTTTTGCCTCTATAAGAGAAAGAAACTAAATCAGTACTGGATAGTAAGGCCAAACTCATAAGCTTTGCAAAAGGGCGCTGTTTTTATCAACAACAAAAAATTCAGACTGGAGATGAGTTTCATGATGCAATTATCTTGTCTTGGGATTACGACAGGATAGACAGATTCAACTCAAGACTGCTGAAAATAGCCAAGAAGAAAATTATGCCATTTAGTTTTAAATCTGGTTTCCCACATTATGCCTTAGATTCCTTTATCAAGTTTGCAAAACACAAACTTTCTACCTTACTTTTTTATGCAACTTCCTGCATTCCATAAGAATATATTTCTTCGGGATAGCAGTGAGAGAAAGAATCAGTTAAACCCAGTAGGCTACAGGATTTGTATACTGTATTTCCAAAATAAGAAAAAAAAGGATTCCTGAAACAATTAAAATATATTCACCTAAACAAAGCCTTGAAATGACTAATTCAAGTTAATTGATGAAGTGTTAGGGTGCTGTTGTTTACTGAAGCCCTATGTCCAACATACAGGGGGGCAGGCCTTCTGGCCTTTGTTCTCCCTCATTGTATGTTGCATATAGAATTTGCTACTATCCATGGTTTCAATTATTCAAAAGTAGATTGTAGAACAGATCCCTCACAGATACAGGTGTCCTAACGTATCTGTATGATCTTCAAGGGCAACTATGCATAGAGTGCATGGCAGTAATCAAACTGGGAAGTTATTGCTACACGAACTATTATAGTCAGGTTGTCTCTCTCCAGGAAAGCTCATTGATGCTGGGTCAATCAAAGGTGGCCCCAGTCACTCAGAGTCACTGAGCTCACTTGGGGCTCTAGTGGCATGGATGGATCCAGGATTATCCTCAAACCAACGTTTCTCGTAAGGTGTACATGAACATGAGCAGAGCTCCATTGGGGTTGTGTATGGGCAGCTGGCAGCCACTTTGTTTACTTTCCGTTTTGGATTAAGCCCCACCCTTCCATGTGCACACAGGGCGAAGCTCCTGTGCAGCACAAACAAAAATTAGAGGGAACATGTCCTCAAACTATCTCCAGCTACTTCACGGGGAATGCAACCTCATCCATATTTTCTATCCAATTCCTGAATGAGAGAAAAATCCAGCCCACTCCAGACAGGGTTCAGCACCTGCACAGTCTTAGAAGATTCTGATGACAAGAATTAAAGCTCATTAGCAGCATACTGACGACATTCAACCCCAAAACTCTTATTGATCTATCCCCAAAGTCTTCCTGTAAATATTAAACACCCTGAAGGACAGAATGGAAACCTGCAACAATCCTCCAGCATAACTGGTATGAAACTGAAAAAAGACCTCCAGTTCTATTACCTGAAATGATCTTAAAGGTAGAAATGGCATCACCATCACCAATATCATCATCTTAGAACTACAAAGCTAGAACAAAGCCTACAAATCACTGAATCCAGCCTAACCCTAACCAGCACAAAAGGAAGATTCAGAGTGCCAGTGGGCCAAGATAGCTTAGTACCTGAGGCAGAAAATTCCACAAGTCATTGCTTTGACTAAAAGGCAATGAATGATCATTTTGCTGCTTACAAGGCCTTTGTCTATAGAGATGGAAGCAGGAAATGGAGTATACATTGTTTGAGGGGCAAACAGATACAATCACACCTAAATATGACTTTGAAAGTTTACAGTCTCCATTGTGAAACTTACACAACTACTGTAGCATGTAGCCATGAAGAAATTTTATCTCAATTCATCAATGAAGAATTTTTATCTCAATTCATAAGTATATTCAACCTGATGAAGAATCGTGAAAAATTGTTTTTGTGGGTTTTTCGGGCTCTGTAGGTGTGTTTTGAAGGAATCCAACAAACAGCAACAGAGCATGGACAGAGTTCCTACTCCAGTCCTCTGAAGATGCCGGCCACAGAGACTGG